CCGTCTGTGAGGAAAATAAATGGGGCTCAGAGCCTCAGAATACTGAAATCTGTATTTTTAAATCTTTTTTTCCTTCTAATTTGTTATTATTTTCAAAATAATACACTGTTATGAACTCACCAATAACACACAATTATCCTTGCTTTTATTTATTGGTTTAATTCCATAATCTCTGGCTTTTTGGTGTCCGTCAGGAACTGAATTTCAAAATAAAAATAACCGGAAACAGACGTAGGCCTCTAGGAGTTTAGGATGGCCGAAGACACTACACTACCCATAATCCCCAGCTATCGTTTAGGACTACAGTCCCCGTGATTAATCTTCAAGCGCTGGGATTGGATGTTGGAGTGGCAGTGCGCCAAGGTTACGCCGAGCGTCAAACAGCTGTTTGAAATGGAACAGAACCACGCCAGACTATCCAAAACTGGAATCGAACGCCCCCCCAGAACTACACATGCTGGCTATTGTGTTTCGCAAAATGTTCCATGGGACGTCTCTACTGAACGTTTTCGTTTTTCCCACAATTAGAAGTTGCCAGTATTCAACACATTGGTGTTATCAAATGTAAAACACATAATTAATAAATGGGTGAAAATCGCTTGTGTCAATAATGCGCAGCATTAATATATACCCACGTGACAGCTCATTGTTACTTTGTAATTCTACTCCACAATTCAGAGGTTAACCTGATTGCCAAGTGCCAACAATCAGGAGAGATATTTGATAGTTGGTGCTTGAGAAGACTAAACATTTATCTGCAATTGACATGAATGGAAACGANGGGGGGGGGCAGGAGCTCCAACAAGGCGTGTAGGACAGAGAGTGAATACACATACTATACAGAGATACTGTATGAGAAACCAATGTGATTTTGGAACATTGAACAATGTAAATCTATTCCAGTAGACCTCAACAATGGAATTATGGTCAGTAGAAATGGCCATGTCATGGGACCTTTAACATTGTTTGCAGCTAATATTGGTAGCAATAAATGAGTGCGACATTAGGAGAACATCAAAGTCATTAATATTCAAACTAATTGAATAATAGTTAAACAAATAGCTGTTTTACTCTGTTGTGTGATTTAAACAATATTAAATCGTCATAAGTCACGCAGTCGGATTCTGAATAGACAAACTGAAAAAACAAGAAACGGAAAACAGAATGATGTTCCAACAATATATTTAGTGGCATAAATTGATATGGGACAGTTGGAATCTATAAACTGTATACTTGCTAATTCAAATTATCTCTATGTACAAAATAAACAACTGGTTTCTAGACCAACCCTGATAATTCCAGTACTTCCAGCTAAATGACATTTCTCAAATAAATTGCAGAATTTTTACCAAAAAAAGAGAAAGAAATCACAATAGATATGTCACAAGAAATTATAATACAATTTTTTCATGCTGAGACGGGCTGCAGATAAACAAATTACAGATCAAAACTCAAATGAAATGTATGCTTAGAGTTTAGGAAAATAAATCAGTCAGTCCTGTTAGTGCTCAAGGAATTCATACAGCAGGTTCAAATGTAATCATGCTGTTGCTGTAACCTGCACTTTAAAGTTAAAGACATTTGATGAAATTAGTACAATGGCAACTTTTCTAGAAGCTTATAACAAGCCCTAAAGTCGACTCAATTAATCTGTGCCCTCTGAATTCATGCAACCAAACACTCGCCGTATTATTTCCTCCTCGCTCAGCTCAGAGACACTGCAGCCAAACTTAGCAGACCCTGTTTCAGAGTCTCTATACAGTCAGCCTCTCTGGCAAATCTGCGAAGGCAATCCCCAGCTAGAGAGGAGGACAAGAGGGGCCGAGGGGAGTCCTGACAGCCCAGCAGCAGAGACAGGCAGGCCCGACCCAGGGCAGGGTAGTTGTAGCGCTGAGAGAACCAGTACACCTGGGGGAGGAGGGCAGCCACGGACCCACCCTCAGCACTCGCTGTTGAGGAAGACATTGAGTCCTGAGCTGATGATTTTAGACGCTGTGCTGAACCTTTCAAGTTCTTTGGTCTCAGCCTCAACTTTTCTGGATCACATGATTTGTCCACCCCTGACACACAGCTTGATTTTGAAACTCGAATGACGCCATTGATTGTCTTGTGGTCCGAAGCACGAGAGGTTATATTCTTGTCCGTCTTAAGCAAGGAACTGTTTTGTTTCTGCCCTGGTACATTTTCAG